CAGCCAAGGCAGCGCCAACTTCCGCTCCCCTGGGATCAGGCCTGCTCTGGGCGGGTGCTAGGCAGGGACAGGACACCGTGTTCCCTGGAGGAGCTGCACTTCCTGGACTGGCCCTGTGTGTTTGAGGGGCTCCCAAGGCCATGGAGGTGGGGCAGGTGCAGGGCCCAGACAGCCAGGCAGCCCCGGGGTTGCTGCCAGGCTGGGGGAGGTGGCCCTGGACCGGACCGGGAGCCGAGGCAGGCATGCGGGGTGCTCTGGGGAAGGCTTGCTGGGGTGGTGCCTAGAACAGCCCCTCAATGCGGACAGACAGAAGAGATGACATGGGGGAGGCGGGGGGCAAGGAGGACAAGGGCTTTGACCCCTACAACTGCCCCTTGACCCTGACCTTGGACTCGGCCACCTTATTCCAGAGCCCGCCCTTAGGCTGAGCCTCGTGGGGCCCTTTTGGGACACAGGCAGGATGGCTAGGCAGCCTGGCCAGCTGGCAGGTGTGCCAGCCCTGAGGAACCCACGGGCCTGGAGCCGGGGATCCCCGTGGGGACCTCGGCCATGGCTGTACCTGTGGCTGCCGGTGCTGACCCCAGATGTGCCTGGCACCGGCCACAGGAAGGGCCGAGAGCCGTCCTCAGGAAGGAAGGAAGCACCTGGCTGGGTCGCCCGGCTGCTCCAGGGAGGCAGCGTGGACGTCCCCTTCCCTAGCAGCGTGCGTGTGGAGCCTGCAGGTCCTGCTCTGAGCGCCTGTCAGCCCCCGGCCACCCCAGCCTGGCCCCTCCCTCCTCCTGCCTCCCAGACAGCAGCTCCAGTGGGTCTCAGGCTGACACTTGGCCGCTGGCCCCGGAGGCTGGGGTCATTGAGGCCACGTGTTCCTTGACGGGGGACCCGGGCTTTAGCTGTTGCATGTGTGGAGTGGCAGGGCTCACCCCGAAGGCCAGCCCCAGGCCCCCAGTCAGACCCCTGCCGCCTCTCCCTGCATGGAGATGGTGGTGCAGGACTGGGCGGGTCCTCCCGGTGCAGCCACAGGCGGCCTTTACGAACCTCACAGCTAGAGAATGCAGGTGGACAGAGGGCAGAAGGGGGCATGCTCGTCCCCCCTCCCCGCCCCCGTGCATTTCCCTGCTGCCTCCTCGGTGACAGCCAGGCCTGGGGTGCTCAGAGCCCGGACACTGGGACGCAGTCCCTCGGGCTGGGGGACCCTCCATGCAGCTCGGGGCCTCCTTGGAGGAGCAGGGCGTGGGTGGGAAGCTAGGAAGGGCCGTGTCAGGGCTGGGCTGTGGGCTGTTCACACGGGGAGGGTGACTCCCCAGGCAGGGTCTGCCTCTGAAGCCGCACAGGGTTCCTGCGGGACGTGGTGGGTTTTGAAGCTCCGGGGATGCTGGGCACTGGCGGGGCCGGGCACTGCGGCCGCCGCAGAGAGCTTGGCTTCAGGGCAGCTGAGTGAGAGCCCCGTGCAGCCCAGGCTATGGGGCCTCGGCGCCCTCCCGCCCGGGCGGACCAGGGATGCCCACTCCCCGCAGGGTGGGACACTGGGACCTGCCAGGGCCCCACAGCCAACCCTCCTGGCACCGGGTGGGCATGTCCGGTGTTAGCACGGCACAGTATAGGCGGGGGCCTCTCTCTGTCTCTGGAGAAGTGTCTGCCTTGTGGATGCTCAGGGACCTCCCTTGAGCCCCGCCGCCCCACCCCCAGCTGTCCTGGGCCGCCTCTTCTGCTCTAACCTGGGTAAGAGCAGATCTTGTTATCCACTGTTCCCCATTGGACCTTTCACCTGACACTACCTGAGCGCTCCCCCCCCCCCTCTCGTCCTGGTGCCGCCCAGGACAGGCAGCTTCCCCAGGCTCTCAGCCTGGCCCTCCGGTTCCCGTGGTACACGTGGAGGTAGCTCTGTGGGACCCACCTTGTTAGAGGTCTGAGGCGCTGCGGCGGCCTTCGGGACCCCCGCCAGCGATGCCTGCGGGCCCACGCGCTGGCCCACAAGAGCCACCTCCCCATTTCCACCAAACTAGGGCCTCCTGCGTGAGCTTGCACGGCCTGGAACCCGGGGCCGGTCCGCTTTGTGTCCGATTAGCCGTCTCTGTTCCGCTCCTTGCCTGTTTGTATCCTTTGCCCGTTTCCACATCATGAGATTCCTCTTTTTATTTTTGCTGTGTATGAGCTCAGAATGTCATGGATACTAACCGTTTGTCTTTTACATGTATTGCGAATATTTTTCCACTGTTATTTGTCTTTTAGCTGTGTTTTTTCTTTCTTGTACAAATGTGTCTTTTTCTGATTGTAAAAGTAACATGTGGCTTTCTTTTAGCCTAAAAAACCTGGAATACATACATATATATATATATATTTATTTTAAAAAGCGCAAAGCCAGAGAAATAAACGTTGCCAACGCCTCCCCTGGAGACGCATGCCTCCTGCTCTTCATTGTGTCCTGTCGAGTCTCTCGTGTGCGTCTGCTGTGTCCGTTCTGAACAGTGTCGGGCGGCTTCCTCACCTACATCCCTGAGGTGGACGTACATGTGGAATATGTTGGGAGGATGGTGCTGTTGATTGTTGCGGGCGGGGGGGGGGGGGGGTGGGTACTTTTCCATTTATTTTTTCCTGCTGATTTGCATTTGCTAATTTCCACCGAGATCACATACCAAGTTTGTAGACACGGGGTGGGGAATATCCGGCCCGCGGGCCCTAAAACGCCCACAAAACCACCTGGTCTGGCCCTGCCGAGGCAGTAGGGTGAGTTAGTGAGAGGTCTGACCAAACATCGCAGGCTGAGCTCATTGTGGATGGCCCGAGAGTGATGTTGCACATCTTCAAAGGGCCCTTGGCAGGAAGCAGGTAACCGGGAGGTTGCGTGGACCAGGGAACCCCACTTGCCCACGGGGCGAGCACGCTGGCACCTGTGCAACTGAGGAGGCGAGGCCCTCGGACTCGGGGGTCAGGGATCGTGCACAGTGGCCTGGGACCCGGAGGCATGAGTTCCAGAGCCCACCCAGCGTGCCCTTCTCTCACCCTGCGCCATGCGGAGGGGTCACGACCCTCTGAGGGTCCCCCAGCCTCGAGGCAGAGCCGGGCTGCTCTGCGCACAGGCCGCAGGGATGGCGGCCGAGGCCCGGCTGCTCGTTGCCTGGTGGCTGAGCCAGCACAGCCTCTGCCCCTCGTCCTGGAAGTTCTTCTAGGGTCTGACTTGGTTTCACCTGGAGAACTTCCAGGCCCCAGGGTGCCCGATGGGAGCTGCTCCGTCCGCAGGAGGTCCCGTGTGGATGTGGGTGACAGACAAGGCCGGGCTGCGGCACCTGTCTGGCCCGAGGTGGTAGCCATCTGCCCTCTCTCCTCCCAGGGTCTCTAAGGCTCCGTGAGCTGGGGTTTACCGAGCTTTGGGACATAGAGAGCGGAGGTGAAAAGGGGGAGCAGCCCGTGTGGGTGCTCCCCGGGCCCCTGGGCCTCTCAACTCCTCTCCGGACGGTAGCCTGTGCGGGTGCTGGGGCAGGCGGGGCCCACGAGGTGGCGCCGGGTTAGGGTGAGCCGCTGCCCCAGGCGCCTGCCTGCCCTCCCCAGACAAGATGAGCAGGACAGGCAGTGTCTGTGGGGGGCCCGTGGCCTGAGGACCTGACACCTGTGACTCTAGTTTTTTGGAAAACTGCCCTCATCTGCAGGGTTATGGGGCAAACTCTGGAAGGAAGCAGTTTCCCCCCCGGATGCCAGCCCGGGGGGTGGGGGAGGTGAGGGGGTCCAGGCCTCCGCTTCCCTGACCCAGATGGGCTCATGTTTCTGTGGTGGCGAAAGTGGCCAGTGAGCACCCCGCACCTGGCCAGGTGAGGGCGTAAATCTGTCTGAGCACCCCGGATCTCGGGGGGGGGCAGCTGACCAGCATCCCTCCTCCAGGCTGCCCCTGCCCCCCCCCTCCAGGCT